ACAAGATGCACTAAGTCCCGGCCGAAAATCGCTCGGGCACCTGGGAATGTTCCCTTGTAAGCAGGAAAAAAACATCAATATTTTCGCTCAACTTCATCCATCAGATTCGGTGTTGTTTGCTTGTTGATCGATTGATCCAAAAATTTTTCGACAAATAATCATTCGACCAATGGCTCCTTAGTCTTTTTGTTCTTCTTATCAACAAGACTTGTTTCCCTTTTGAATTGATGGAAACCATTTTCTGGAATGCTCTTTAAATCTTTTAAAGTTAATCTTCAAACTAAAACTCGAGATGTTCTAATAACAAATTCCAAAATTTAAATATTTTTATTAGATGATTTTTCTTTCGGAACTCTCGTTTCCAAAACTTTGAAGAGCTCAGCTAAAATCGAAGAAGTCAAATTAAAAGAATATTCAAAATAAGCTTTAATAATCGTTTCATGTAGATATTTGCAAGTAAGAACATTTTGTAGTAGTTTAATTTGATCTTTATTGCACATATAGACTAGGCGAATTAGAAAAATACTGTTATTTTTTTTCGAGCTAAATGATGAGAGAAGATGAGTTAACAATACATGTCGTTTATCTTATTTTTTTCCAATGATGGTCATGCGCATTCTCTTGCTGCTAATTCTGATGAATATTCTGTCGATTGAGTCCAGCGTTAGCACACTGTCAGTAAAAATGAGAATTATTGATCGATCTCGTTTTGAACCTTCAATGGATATTTATTTGATTGAAATAGTGAATACCACTCGATCATTGAATATGTGTATTGCCATTTGTGATCGTCACATCGTTTGTCAAACAGCAGATTACAGTTCAACAACAAAACAATATCGTTTATTTGAATCATTAGCTTCAACAGGAACTTTTATTTTCGATCCAACAACAACTATTCGTGATCTCAATTATTGTCAGAACGATGTTCAAATTGAACCAGAATATATTCATACTCGATCGGGAAGATACGCAATATTATCTATGTTTGAACTGTTCAAATGATCATGAAATTATTTCATTTAAGATATACGATTTTTCTAATAAACATCACATTGACAATCATTCATAATTAAACATAAAATAGGTTTCTAAAACTTTTTTGTCACTTTTTATAAGAGTGATCATGAAAACGAAATTCATGTTTATTTTGCACAAATAATGAAACAAGGACTTTTCAATGAATATCAATCATAGCATAGGGTGACAGATATTACTCTAGCGATCACGATGTCGATTAAAATCTATAGTGTAAGAGATATTTTGTTTATGGTTAAAATAGTTCTATCTTGTTGTAATGTTTTTTATTTGGTGTTATGAAACCTGTTGTATAATAAGTAAACAAGCAGCACAAATTTACTGTTGATTATTCTGCGGCTAGATTCATCAATATGAAATTCCATCATTTTTCAAGCCTAGGAATAGATTAATCGGCATCGGATGAATGTTACCAGTGCATTTATTAGTTAAATCAAAATAAAAAAAAGAGTCTATAACATGAGAAAGATATAGTTTTAAAAATATTTTACAGACAGACATTTTTAGTTTTAATTTAACTTTTTTGAACCATGGTCTTTTCAGTTTCGAAAAACCGGTTTAAAAAAAACTAATTTTCACATCCAAAAAGAATTCTCCTCAGACTCGAACTATACATAGTCAAACAACCCTAGTGCCCAAAAGTTGAAAATACAAAAGTCTTAATAAGCCTAAAGCATCCATGAAACATTAATAATTCAAAAAAATCAAACCAAACTAAAAAAAGTGTCAAGAAGTATTCTATAATCTAGAAACTTAATCAAAAATCTAGCACCTTTCTTGCTATACCTACTATATGAAACCATCGTTATGAAAGTATTCATTTTCGTCGTATGCAATCATGCATAGTCGTATACGGTGTAAATTACAATCGTGTACGACCGTATATCGTCGTGGCATATAAGACGAAATACAACGTGTGTATACGACCACTGTAAAGCATCGTAGAAGGTCGTTTACAACTTTGTTTGTCATCACATTCCACATAAGCTTTTTGTACTTCCCATTTTCACTCTCTAAACAATGTAAAATTAATATTTGGAGGGAGCTTAGTCTAGATGGGCATCCTCATTTATTTAAGCTCATACTTAACCTTCGATTTATCCTGATAAATAATTTCAAAATAAACAATAAAATTTATTTAAATAAATTAATACTAATTGTTCGTTTTGTCGTTGATGTAGATTTAAGTAAAAAGAAAAAAAAATAGTTAAAAATAATACTTACTGTCGATTATGCGATTGTAACAGATATAAATATAAAAATATTAATTTATATAAAATAACTCATTTAGCGTTAGACACGACAAAAATACAAACGTACACGAGTGCCGTTTATGATGGTCGTATTCAAGGGTGGTTTACGATCATACTTTTTCAATCTGGGTAATTTCGATAATAATCGATTTTAGACTGAATATTCGCCTAACTTTTTTTTTTTTACATAGGAAGAATGACTAATGTAAAAAAAGGCTGAAAGCCTGATTAAAATCGATTTCAGTCATATTTTTAGCCTTGTTTTTTTTTTTACATGGGCAATCAAAACTAATGATGATCGATAATAGTTCGTTATCTTTCAAATTTACCTTCGGAGAAAAAAAACAGACGCTATCATTTACACATGTGAGAGGTATAAAATAGTAGAAGAACGAAGTTCGAGCGATTATAAAAGGTACTCCATCAAGCAAGCAAACGATCAAATATCATTGAAGGTGCACCTCTCACTAAACATCAAATACCCAAAAAGCTTATCTGCAACGCATTTTTTTTTCAAACGTATACAAAACATTCCAAGCGTTCATACTCAACAGTTGCTACGATCAGAAATAAGTGTAGGCTATTCCTTAGTGAAGTACAAGAAAAATGCCAATGAGAATATCTGTCTCTTTCATTCATTATTCTTAGAATTTATTGATCATGTTTAAAAACTTATTTTCACCTGTGAAAAAAGATTCACTCTTGATTGTTCTAATTGCCTTGTTGATAATTGTTTTATCATATCACAATGATTTCAAATTCAGCTCATGGTCGACAGTAAGCTTGACTTTTTAATGCTTTCGATCGAGAGATTTCTTTTTTTTTTCTTTGTGAAGCTGAAAAAGACTCTTGTTTTTTATTTCACTATTACGATCTTCTGTAGATAATCAGCTATGCACATTTTCTATATCAGTTTGTTGTTTACGAAAAAATGAAACTTGGCAGCGAGCGACACTTTAACTTCTATAAACCTAGAGATGAGATAATATGTGTGAGGTAGAAAGATAACAGAACGCAAAGTTTGCTTTTTACTTTTCGCTTTGCATGTCATCTGTGAGCAAGGATTAGACTTGAAAGTGTTAAGAATTT